GTCGCATTATCATTACCAAACACCTGCAAAATAGCATCGATTTTTATCAATTTTAAACCCGATTATTAAACTACATTAACGCGCATTACATAATAATAATAATAATAATAATAATAATAATAATAATAATAATAATAATAATAATAATAATAATAATAATCCTCGAAAGAATGAAAAATTAAGGAGAGAAAAAAAAAAAATAATGGATACTTCGCTCTTCCCTTGAATTTTAAATTCAAATTTATCTCCCTTTTATCGAAATCTCTATTGAAATTATTTTTCTTTCGAAAATTAGGATTGTGAGAGAAGAATTTTCAATTTCTTCTTTCAAATGTCTTTTTCCCGCTATTATTGGAATCAGAATTTTTTTATTATTAATTTCTTCGTTCTGTGCTCGTAGCATTCGATTCGATAATATTTATTTCGTGTAAATATGACGATTCATAAATTATTTATATTATTATAAGAGAGAATCGAAAAAAAATGTTCGGAAAACACTTCACGAAAAAATATAAATATTTCTTGATACTTACCTTATTCGCGAGGTTCTCGTCATTTATGTATATAAAAAATTAAATAAAAGTATTATGATACAGAAGAATTTGTTTTCAACCGTTTTCATTTGCATTTGAATTCATTACGATGAATTCATGTATGATAAGACATCGTTTCGAAAATTTGATTTGCGTTAAAACATTTTTTTTTTTTCTTTTTTTTTCTTACAATTTCTCTTAATCTTATTCGATTATCCGAGGTTGCGATTCAGTTTATCGTATTTTGAAATAAGCAATATGAACGAATAGATTAGTCACGATTTTTTGCATAATTATTAGAAAGAAATATCAAGAATCGGTCGACACACTTTTTTTTTTTTTTTTTTTTTTTTGTTTTTTAAGCGAATGTAAATTTTCGTTATGCGATATACAACAATATTTATTCCGTTTATCTCGCTTTCTGAATAACTGAAATTCAACCGACTCGTACCAGAAGTTTGAATGTTGAAACAAAACTCGAATGTAACGTAGATACGTTGTTACACGAAATATATACGATGTTTATAACCGTTGAATTGTTAATATCTTAATATCTAATTTATAAACAATTTAAGCGAAAGGAGTGTTGATGCGGAATAAATCAGATAAACTGATGCTTTTTTTCAATAATGATTATTAAAATTTCTGTAAATAATTACTCGTTGGAAAAATTTTTTATGAAATCATTTTAAAAAGATCTTTATTACGTTTGATCATCATCAAATCAGGATTGAAATTATTGGATTAAATTGAAAAAGAATAATACAACTTCAATCGTGATTCGATGATCAAATGTAATAACGATCTTTTTAAAATGCTTAGCTTTATAAAATAAATTTTTAATAAGAAATATTATAATTCAAATATATAATTAAAATATAATACTCAAAAAAAAAAAAAAAAANAAAAAAAAAAAAAAAAAAGAAATAAAGATTTTCATTTTCACTTTCTTCATATTTGTCATTTCTATCTCAAATACTTCACATTCTACATTCAATAACTTCACAATTTCAACCTCATTTCGTAATCATGTCCGATTCATTAACATATTTCCAATATGCTTTGCAAAACTTTCAACGTTGCAAAAAAAAAAAAAAAAAAAAAATCCAACGTTTTACATAAGACACAATCAACAAGATCTACGTATTTTCTCGTCCATTTGCTAAATGGGCACGATGGAAGCACGTTTGTTATTACGACAAATAAAATGTTCGATCAATATGCGTTTTTTCCATTGCGAATGTACATGGAATGTTTGTGTCAACTTTTTGCATTTTTCTCCGCGTTACGAGAATATAGAAAAAGAAAGAAAAAAGAAAGAGAAAAAAGGAAGAATAACACGAAGGTATTCGTGTTAAGAGACTCGATTGTGCGTGATTTGTTTTTCGATGTTAAACAGCGACGATGTTGTGATTCGTCCCCTCCTGTTGGAAAATAATATTTTACAATACACAGCGATTCAATAGCTAGCATCTAGAAGCTATTTAACGATGATGATTTATTATGCGTATGCGTGAAATCAATCTTTCACCATTTTAATCCCATTTTAAAATGAATGTATATATATATATATATATATATATATATATATTTAATAGGATAATAGTCGAAGAAAAATAAATTACACGTAATATCTTTAAATTCCATTCGATGTTTCATCTCTCAAAAATCTCGAAACGATTCAATTAAGAATAACTTGTCGATTAATTTATCACTTTACGCTAATTCCTTTGCAACGAGTTAATTTCACATCGATGCGAAAGATAACATCTGCAATCAACATTGAAATAATTATACATACGTGTAATTAGATATTAATCATAATTTAACGATATATAATAATCGGCGCGTGAAGATATATCGAGGGATTTTTTTCATCAATCCCAATCCCAATTCCCCAACCTCAGGGGAAACAGGGCAGGAAATGAAAAGAATGAAACGAATGTTAAAAATTCATGGGAACAGAAATTTTATTCAGCTTCAATTGCATCGAGATGCGGCAGTTCCGCGCTGAGAATCTAGAGAGAGACAGATCGACGACACATCTGTATTTTTGCTTGAGGTAATCTTTAAAAAACCGTGTGTAATATTCCTCCGTGTGTATCTGTTCGCAATCGTACCACGATCTATCCATTCGTTTATATATCCATTATGCGGTGTACGGTGTACGTGTGTGCGTGTGTGTATGAGAGTTAATCGCGATACATCTCAATTATACGTAGGCACGTATATATAGGTACATATACATACATACATACATACATACATACATACATACATACATACATACGTACGTACAGAGGGGGAGGAGGATGGGTTGCACAGAATAATATTATTCGTTTTTGTATCGTTCGAGACGGTACAATACGTAATATAATAAAGACGAGGCTATCGATAAATTTTCCTTCTTGAACGATTTATATTACACTTTGAACAGGCGGGGTCCGTTTCTCAGTCTGATGCAATGCCCCAAGCATTCGAATTTCATATTTTGCGGGGAAAGAAATTTGGAAATTATATTATATTATACGTCGGCAGATACGTTCTGCCCTTTTCTTTTCTTCTTTTTTTTTTCTTTTCTTGTTTCCTCTCTTTCTCTATCTATGTACAAAGAATTTTTTTCTTAATAGAATCCCACGGATTGGCACGAGTAATATCGATTCGAATCGATATCGCGTGTAGATGCAGTACCACTTTATATACATCCTTTAATAATTTACTTTTTTGATTAGTTATAAAAATTAGATCGCTTTTAATCGAAACAAATTTTTAATTTTAAATACGTAGATGTTATAATTCGTATTGGATCGCTTGCTTTTCGAATATTTGAAATTATTTGAAATTATTTCTCTAATAAATTTGACAAGTATAATAAATACAGTCCTTTTAAAATGTTGTTATTTGCAAATATCTTTCTTCGAAAAGTTTCTTTTTTCTTTTTATTATTCAGAAATTGTCCAATTCCGTCCCCTAAAAAACTGTTTATAAAATTTTTTCTCGCTCTCTCGACTCACCGAATCCTTCTTCGAAACGGATCTCGAACTCTTTATCACGTGGTAATGTATCTACACTTGTTACACATCTGCATCGTTAACCTTTCAACGTCGATTCACTATTAACAATTTCCTTGTTTCAAAATCCGTGATCAATTTGGTTCGAAAGGTTAACGACCCCTCCCCCCTTTAAAAAAAGATCATCGAATCCAGCGTATCTTTCTCAAAATCACGAATGTGAGGAGTATGGAAATTCTTCTATACCTCCGACTACACGTATGCACGTTTCCTTACACATTTATATTTATACAATACATATATAAAGTCGTTCCCTAAACACGTGTTTTTCACGATACATGGATTCAAGTACCGGACTCGAATTGAGAGAAACATCGGGTTCGATACCGACGGGGCCACCATCTTGAATCGAAAGGCGAACGGAGCAAACGGGGGGGGAGAATTCGTTGTTTAAAATGCGCAAAAAAAAAAAAAAAAAAATAAAAAAATAAACACCGACAAGAAGAAAAATTACCAAGCGTATTGCACCGTATTGTTCACTCGCAATAAATCGATAATATCGAGCAACTAGAAACTAGATCTTATTTACAAATAGAGTACATTACATTAATCTGGGCCCTTTCGCATAATTGTCGACCCCTTTAGAAGGCTGAAATATCATCATTAACTGATCGGAATCGACGAGAATACATGTAACAGTTTTTTGAAATAAATCGATCGAGTTGTGATTTACGATGCCCTCCAAAGAAGGTACAAACTAAACACGATTTCAAAGATTAGATCAATAGATCTAATCTAGATCACCGAACACGATATCTATGTAACAATAATAAATTAAAAGTAACTCGAAGAATATTACAACGTAAGAATTGTAAAAGGAAAAAAGAAAATAACTAATCATAGTCTTTGATAAATTGTCATGCAAACAGGGCCCTGATCTTTTATAAATAAAATTATTATTACTTTCGAAATATAATTATTAGTTCCGAATCGTCAAATAATAAGAAGGAGTGGTGAAAGATAGTTTCGCAATTTGGCACGACTAGTTGCCACCAACACGGTGACGTAAGAGCGTAACATGAAAAACTCATTCATCGACTGATCGATCGATGCTTATTAACCGATAAAGATCGCAAAATCGTCCAAAAAAAAAAAAAAAAGAAAAGAAAAGAGAAAAAAAGAAAAAAAGATTCCCTCCCTCCCGTCACCTGAGAGTCACTTCTAGAAGTAGCTCGCGCGAATTTCCAGCAGCTTTTCAACGTTTCACGATTCGATCGTCCCGAACATCGCCCCGGGGGAGGGGAGGCGAAACAGTTGTTCGAGGAACAGAATCGAGAGGAGGTGAAACACTCGGACCACGATATTATTATTATTATTATTATTGTTATTATTATTATTATTATTATTATTATTATTATTATTATTATTCGTGCGGTGCAGCGGGGACGAATTCCAATTAGACGGTGGGCCCGGTACTCGAGGTCGCCGCCACGTAATAATTCCTCGCTTGCAAGTGATTCTGAAGATGATGCAAGCCGGGCATCTGTTGGCCCGTGCTCTGAATACCCTGATTGGTCCAATGGGGGGTGGTGGTCGGCGAGACGACGAGCTTGGAATCGGGGCTCGCCGACGGCGTGTTGGGCGACGGGAGGGCATTCGTCTCGGCTACCACGTCCACGTCCACGTCCTCCTCGTCTTGCTCGGCCTCTTGAAGATCGTGCATCTCGTCCTCGCTGCAACTGAATCTCCTCGACTTGGCCGACCTCAGATCCGACTCGATTTGGTGTTGGTCGTCGGGCGCGAGGAGAGACGCAACGTCGAACTGCCTCTTCCTCGACGGTTGAAACGACGAGGATTGCCTCAGATTGCCTTGATTCGTTTGCTGAAACGTTTGCTGCTGTTGCTGTTGCTGCTGATGGTGAGGGTGGTGGTGATGGGGCGTCCAAATTCCCGTCATCGGTTGAGAAGCGACCGGCGGGCCGAGCGTGGCCGGTGGGGGCGGGGTGGCCGGCAGAGGCGGCGGGCTCGGACTGTCCGGCTCCTCGTCCACCGCCAGACCCATGTGCCTTCGCACCTTCCTCTGCGCTTTGCGCCTCCTGAAGTCGCCGCGGCGAAAATCCTCCAGATTGGCGGGGTGGATCGCCCAGTAATGTCCCTTCCCGTTCGCGCTTCTCCCGGATTTCACGAAGCAATCGTTCAATGACAGATTGTGCCTGATCGAGTTCCTCCAGCCCGGGCCACGGGTACGGAAGTAAGGGTAATGCTCCAGTATGTGCTGATATATATCGGACAGGACAAGCTTCTTCTCGGGGGACGAGAGTATCGCCATCGCGATCAGACCGATGTAACTGTGCTGCGGCTTCGGCTCCTCGGGGATTCTTTGGTGGTGCGGGTGGAGCAGTGCCATGGACAGGGCCAGCCTGCTAGGGTAACCGGCCGCGGCCGCCGCCGCCGGGTACAAGGGCAGGGGTGCCGGGAACCCCGGTCCCATTCCCAGATGAGCGGGGGCGGTGGAGGGCGGGTGGCCGACACCTGGATGCTGGGGGTGCAGCTGCTGGGCAAGCCTCAGCCTCTCGGCCATCGCGTAATGGTACAATTGAAGCCGGTAATGCTCGAGGCCGGGCAAGAAACCGGTCATTGGGTTGCCAAGACCGACGGCCAACGGTTCCTTGGCCGGTGGCGGGCTTTCATTGCTGCACATGATCTCCTCCAATCTTCTCCTCGTTCGCGATATATCCCTCGATTCACTTTTCGTTGCCTCGCTTCTCTCTCACCTCCTTCACGTTCCACATTCAAACTTTTGCACGCGATCCTTTTGTACGCGTTACGTACGCGTTACGTTGCGGATTCGAATTAAATTCGGGGGAGAGGGGGAGGGAGGGAGGCGTGAAGGAGGAAGAGGAGGAGGAGGAGGAGGAGGAGGAGGAGAAGGAGGAGGAGGAGGACACGATGTCACCGTCGTGAAAGACGCGAGGAGGCGACGATTGGTACGCGGGCACGAACGATCCGTGGGCCGATCGACGCGAGGAGGCGGCGGGCGCGTGCGACGAGACGAAATTGGAAAGATCGGGACGATCGGATGGATCGATCACTCACTCTCACGCGCTCGGGGGGGCCCCGATGTTTTCAAAACGGTTTTCAGCCTGTTTGTCACGATGCGCTCCGTGCGACCGACTGGTCATGATTTACGATTCGGCCGTGCGCCAGGAGAGCACGGCCGATGGCTTTCTCCCCCACTAGCTCCTAGGGGGAGAAACGTGGCAAGCTCCGCCCGTCCACGGCAGAGAACGGTGTACGAGGTTCAGGCAAACGCGCTCCCTCGAACCGGTGTGCCGATCCTCCGACCAATAAGCAACGGGAGGACGGCTCGAAGATGGAACCCTCTGCCGACCGCCACACCTACCACCATGGATATTGATCCTGAATTCCGTAATCTAGGCGCGCGGGGGTGGGAGCCGGCCGAGACTCGCCGCCGAAACACGCTCTTGGCTCAACGTCGTTCCTCTCTTATCTTCTCGGGCTACGAAGCTCGATATCATAGCGGGCCGATTCGTACACCGTGCGGAGCGGCGACGCGACGCGTTTCAACCCTCCCCTCCTCCTCCTCCTCCTCCTCCTCTCCTGCCCTTCCAAGCGTTGTGGAGAGTAGAGCGCTAGTTTGCTCGGGTTCGGTTAATAGCCGCCTCGTTTTCGAGTGTCCGGGAATCCGTTGACTATGAGCCTGGTTATGAGCCTCCTCCCGTTCGCTCGTCTTCTCCGAGAAGAGTAGCCGGCCGAAAGATGTTTCGCTTCTGCTCCGGTTTTTCTTTTTCTTTTTTTTTTTCACTTTGGAAAGAAGAAACGTTTCCTTGCGGTCGATGATAACGTGGAAACGGCGTCGAGAGGCAGTATATATTGGTGTATTCCTTCCAATTTCGAATAATGTAATTTCGTTACAGGCGTCTTGAGAAATTCGGCGCGTATACACGACTAATATTTTCAATAATATCTATCGATCCGATCCGATCGGATGCTCGGCTCTCCAACTCGATTCACCAAACACTTGACAAGAAAGAGAACGATTCCCTTAATTTGACCATTGCCCAACAAAGGAGAATCCGTTCCTTCAAAACCTGGAGCAACGATGAAAAGAACCTCGAGCCTTCCTCGGCGCATTTAGTCGGCGGGGTAATTCGAAAGGGGAGGGCCAGCCTCTCGTTCGTTCACACGGAATCCTTTTCTCCTCCGTGCCGTAATAACAAAAGGCGAAGCGGGGTAAAAATAGAGAAAGAGTGAGTGAATGAATGAGAGAGAGAGAGAGAGAGAAAAAGAGCGGAGTACGCGGCATTTATATGGAGGCGCCGCCCTGCAACTATTTGTAAGCATCCGCCATGCTGGTTTCATATCTGCCGTTTCGGCTTGCACAAAAACACTATTTTTCACGACCGGCCCAGCTGGCAATATGGCGCGTTTATACACGTCGACGGGCCATGCATCGACTCCGATTGCAATTGTTGCGTTTCATTGCAAATAACAGCCCCTCCGCGCCCCAACCATCCCCCCACCACGCGATCCCATCACCCCTTCGACCGTGTTCCCGCGCTCTTCCGTTTCTCTGTATCGTGCACGGGAAACACACGGCCCCCGTGTCAATTGGAGCGTGTGCGTGCCGCGATGTAATTGGTATACGTGTATCCAATGGACCAACTTCCGTTTTTGGCCCAGTTTTTCCTTCAACCTTTTCCTCCTTTCGTTCGTCTTTGAGAGGGAATTTTGTGAATACGTTTTGCGAATATGGGAATACAGGATCGAAGGATTGTGAAGTGAAGGTTTTGAGGGTGATCGAACGAATTTGCCTATCTTTCAATTTTCCATTCTCCGTGCAATCGGTGACGAGTCATAAAGAAAGAAGATGAATTTCTGTGAAATTAGTTCGCGTTAGACGAACTGAAAATATTATTGGAAAAAGGAAAAGAAAAATGCAAAGATACTTGACGAAACGAATACTTGTTGGAGAAAAGGTAAATTAAAGGAAGAATACGAATCTGGCGAGGTTGGAGAAGAAAGAAATCGGAGAAGCTGTCAATCGAGGGCCATGCATCTGCCACTTACTCGGCTCGATCGTTACACCACCTTTTTTTCCCCACAATGACGCTCCATTTCGTCACAATTATCGCCATTATTCGAGAAGAGCATTTTAGCGACGCCACGACAATGGGCCGATATCTATATATATATATATATACACTGGTTCAGACTACGTACACACCCACACACATATACACGCACACGTTCAACGAGCAAATTTTTTCGTATTGCGCGAGCGAAATCCTCTTCTCGATTTTATTGTGTGTTTTGACACCGAGGTTTCAAATGTGGCCACCACCATTCGACCAAACGACGCCTGTTCCCTTAACGTTTAAGGGAAGAACCGATCTTATCCGAACGAGTTTTTCCTGCGAAAATATTGGATACTCGAACCCGCTCCCGTTTCTTATTACTCGATTCGTCGGTTTTCACGATCCGGCAATCGTATCTGATCGGACCGAATATAGAGTTACTGGAACACATCCATGGGATTGAATAAATAATATTTCGAGGTTTTTCCCAAGCTGTAACAATTTCCCTGAAAGATTAAATAAAATAGATTGAATAAAATAGATTGAAGGACGGTTTGCTTTTATAAAGGCGATCCTCGACCCGTCGATTCAAAAGTGGTGTATTCAGATTTATTTTTACTAAATTTCGAATCATCGAATATTATACCCGATTTCTTCTCTCCCTTTCGACGAAATTCGATGTTAAGCAAATCTCAAAAAACAAGAAAGCGTTCGATTTTACCGGCCGGTTTAATGGTCAAATCCATTTATAACTTCGTCAAACTAACGTTAATCTCGGCTTTGCCGATACTTCTCCGCTATAATCCAGATGCAATACTCGGCAACCACGGATAACGTCGGGGTTAATAAATGTGTCGTGGTGGTGGCGGCAACACCGTTGTAACGGACGAGTTTCGTGGACCCGGATTGCACCGGGTATCCGTTAGTTTTGATGCTTCCAAATACACTCCTAATCGGTTTTCAAACTCCCCTTAAACGCTCGCGAGAACGTAGGATCCGATAAACCAAACTTGAAGATTTCACGTGGACGCGACGGGAACGGGCTTTTCAACTTGCACGGAATTCGATCAACGATACCAATTAAAGGGTTAAATTGTTGAAATTCCGACTCGGGATCGGTCAATGTTCAATTCGAGTGTCTCTCGTATCTCTTTTTTGAATTTCAATTCATCCCGATCGAGTTGAAGTTAGACAAATTTTCAAACAGATCCCTCTGTTTGAAACGACTTTCGGATAACAAAAGGTAATTTTTTAATGAAATTCTTTTCCGAACCGGAAGTGAAATTCCATTAAAAATTCTAGGAAAATTCTTTGAATCGCCGCAACTTCCGAGATAATTAATCTCCGGTTCGAACGAACGGATCGTTGGAACCTCGCCTTCGTTTCGTTTATCCCTATACAACTTTCGCTCCATCCTCCCAAGATACCGTCAAAAGACAATTTTTATATAGAGAATAAGAAGAATAAGAATAATAAGAATAATTTTTTCGTCCTTCGCTATTCTCGTTCGGCAGAAAGAAAATAAAGAAAATACGATTTTTATACTTCGATTTATAGAAAAATCGAAGTCTCTTCTGACACACGAAAATGAAAGAATCTGTAAAACCCAAATACGAACAGAGAAGTATATACACATACATCTCGCAAATTTGTCGAAATTTCTTTTCCAATCTCCTCTCCAACCTCTCCCCACCCTTCCATTCAACCTCAACCGTCTGGCATGGCCCTTTCACGATCTCAGAGATGTATTATTTCCCATATTACGACCATCTAATTAATTTCCACCCCGGTTCCCTCCTCCTCGATCTCGATCCCCATCCCCCGAGAACTTGGAGCACGCATATCTGCACGCACGTATTCAGATCGGAACGCACGGATCGAGAACGAAGAAGGCATCCATTAAATTCGCCCCGGCAGTGAATACACACACGCTGGTTGGTGGCGCAAAGAGAAAGAGCATTTAACGACGAGCGCGCTTTATGCATATTCTAACGAGCTTGCAATCAACCGGTACTAAACATTAGCAGGGCTTCTGGCCCCTGCCTTCCTGACCTCCTTCGCAAGAGGAGAGGACGGACGGGTGGTGAAGAAAGTGGAAGAAAGGGAGAGGCGGAGCGGAGAGCGAGGAGAAGGGAAATGAGGAGAGGCAAAGGGGGGGAGGGGAGAAGGAGGAGAGAAACCGGTACAAGGCGAGGAGAAACACGATAGAGAGAACCCCGTGGAGAGGAGAGAAGGTCCATTAGCTTTGACGCTGCCTCTCAAAGGGATGCTACCGTTTTAGCGACGTGTACCATCCTGTTTCCTAAGCATCCCTTTTACACTGAGCGACGTTATTGCGCTTGAGATAGGAAAATATCGTTTCTGGGTACATCGAGACGGGAGACCCTCCCGCTAGCAGCTCCACGTCTCGCCCCGCTGCTTAAATATTCATAATTTATAAACTCTATCGCCCCGGTCCCGTCGGGGGCTACCCTGTTTCCCCGCCATGAGATTTCATCAGATTCTTGGATCTTCTTTCGGTAATGGAGTGAAACGGTTGTGCACAGCGCCGCGAAACCGGCAGAGAAATTTGTTCCCCAGAATTTTCGAACATCCCAAGTGT